TAACCTGGCGGCGACATCTGGTCCCGCGAAGAAAGGGGACACCGGCGTCAACATGCACGTGTGGGTCCACAAGCTGTCGTCCCCATCCTCATCGGGCCATGGACGACTGGCGCTCCAAACATGTCCCTTGACACCTTCCTACCGGGCGGGCGTGGACCACGGCCACCCGTTCCCTCCCGTGTAGCTGAGAAAAGCGCGATGGGGAGTTGGGAAAGAAGGGGGAGGGCACTTGCCATGCGACTCTCTCGGCCCGGCACTGTGTCTCGGGTGTACTCCCATAATTACTGGGGAGGGGGGGGGGGATGATGAGTCACGCGGTGCGGCGCTAGGCCCGCGTGAAGCGATCCACTGTTGCGGTCCACACGTGTGAGTAATTCTTGTAAATGCTGGCGACGGTCTGCGTTTTAATAGTTTAGCAAGGACGCGACGCTGGAGGGGGGCTTGCCAGGCGGCGAAAGGGCGCTCGCGCCCGGCGTATGAGGGCGTGGTGTCCGAGGCCGCTGACGCGTACTCAGGCGCGACGGCTCGCTCGTTAGCCCGCGCCGACGTTATCTTGATTCTGCCGTTGAAGGCGGCCAAGTGGAGGCGCAGCGGCTCGTCACGGTCCTCGTCGATCCAGCGTCGCGGCCTGGCGCGGTGTATGGGCCACGCCTGCGCATTCTTGAAGGGCTCTTTGTCTATGGTGTTAGCCTGTTTGCAAGCAAGGCGGATTGTTTTCCTGGCTTCCTTAAATTTTCTCGATAGCTCAGGGCGTCTGGACCCTCACTGGGCCCCGCCCTGCGCATTCGGACGGATTCCTTTAACGAGCGCGTGTACTCACATTTTCCCTGTTTTATTTTGTATTGTTTGACCCGGCTCGGTTTACTGACTGATCTGCGCACGGTGCCTATGCTCGGTTGACCAGTGAGTGCCCCTCTCGTCCTGGGGAGATCCGCTACGGACACCGGAGACTTGGTGCGGGGAGTACAGTGTCAAACTCTCCGAAGCAGGCAAGATCTCCGGGCCTTTAGCCACTGATCAGAAGGAGATCGCCTGCCGTGGATGCTGAGGCATCGCGGCGAGATGCGTCGAGCCCGTCTCGTCTCGAGAGACCGTCCACGACTCCGTGAGACCAGGGGAGGTTGCTCGCGAGGCGCCGACCTGGGTAGCACTGGATAGGAGATGAGGAACGCGCCCGATCAGCATGACTCGGCTCTGGCCGGGACTGAGCGGTCAGATAACCGCAATCCTGCTTTTACGCAGATGAATGTTCGTGGGCAGCTCGACTCAAAGGCACGGTTTCGCTCCTTTTTTGACTGAAAGACGATCGACTCGTTTCGTTGTCTCTCACTTGACCTTAGGCGTGACGGCATGAAGAGGCACAGGTCACGGTATGACCAAGGACCAGTGAGAACCGCCCGGGATGCGGGATTATCCAAGGCGTTAGCTGGGTCTATCCGTTGGTGTTTAATACTTTGGGAGAGAACAGGACGCAGCCTGTTCTCTTCTGACGTGGTTTACGCCAGGCCTTATGAGCTCTTCATGACAGGATGTTTCGGACGGACAGAGGTCCCGCCATCGACGCTCGCAGGGAGGGCGACAAGGGACCGGTTTGTCGGACAGCCCAGTCAGGCCGAGTTTCCAGAGCGCGCCGGCCGTGGACGCCGTAAGGCGTAAACACAGGCTACGTCGGGTGCTCGCTGTCCGCCGCGCCGCTGCGGGGCGGTGCGCAAAGCTCACTCTGGTAGACCGGAGGCGAGTGCGCAGGAGCGCTGGAGGCGACGCCTCCGTGCTGGACGAGGCGCTGCCTGAGGCGAGTACGCAGAAGCAGGAAGCTTGGGGGCGGTGGGCGTGGCCGAAGGAATGGTGGGCCGCCCAAACGTGGACTAGACGCAGGAGAGCGTCGTCCTAATAGGGAGCCGTCACTCTGAAGGTCAGGCGAGGGAACGAGTTGTCGTCCAGCCTCGGACACGGGATGCCGGCCCAGGAGCTGCGTCGGTGCTAAGCTGATTGATGAACCTGATATGCCTTAAAAAGGGCTTAAAGATGGCATTATTGCATGTGTAGAACGGGATAGATAAATTCTAGCTTAGCGAGGACCCGCGCAGACGTGCAGATTATAATACCAAGGCTGGATAAAACAGGGAGAGAGGATCCACCCGTGTGCGAGACAAGAATGAATGGGGTGACGGGGTCACCAGAGGACGCGTATGCTTGGAGTGAGTGTGGTGGGGCGCCGAATTCATGTAGTCTGTGTGGACCAGTGAGGGCCGAGGGGGGACCCACAGGGTTGTTGTTATCCAGCGGGCCCTTGCCAATGTTACTCTCCGTTTGCGTGGGATCGCGGCCAATTTGGGCGCAATATCAATGCATCCAATTTCGTTTTTGCCCCGTCTAAATATTGTCATCAGCTTAAGGGTGGAGATGGGGTACCGTGGTTATATACGGGGAGATATCCGTTCATGGAGTCTGATCGGATCTACCATCCCGCCAATGCCCCGGTCACCTACTCTATCCTAGCTCCGTGGCTCACGTGAATGTGTGCTGATGTCGGATATACCGGAGTCACAAAGTGCCGAGTCGTGCGCTAACATCATCTGGCTTGCATGCTGACCAAGTGTACCACGTATGGGCTCCTTAGTATAAATTCGCTGTTGTGGGGAGGTGTGACGGCGGTGGCCGACGGCACACAAACAACTAGCAGCAGCCCGGCAGTAGCGCAGCGCACGCACTCCACCACAGGAACCACTCACAGTAACAGAACTCATTTTCTTTCACTCTGGACGGGTGAGTTGGTTTTACCTTCGCTCTACGCGGGGGCGAAACAAAGATCTCGCTAACATCTCGAAAACTAAGCAAGCTAGAGTCACTGGGAAAAGGCATCGGAAAGCTTTCTCCAAACGGTATCAGACGGTACCAAACGGTTGACTATTGAAAAATTTGATACGCTTATACGCGGCGTTGAGACGAACAACAGTTTCCGAAGATGGGTGATGAAACTGCTCACTGCTTCATGATTATGATGCCGTTGATGAAATACTAGATCAGATGCAGAGTAAACGTTAGGCAATTGCGCACAACAGTCATCCGATTTTCAACAAGTCATACACTGATCTCAAACTGCTAACCGAAATGGCAGATAAAACAAGGTCAGTCTAAAAATCGTGTTCGGTGTCATACACATGTTCAAGAAAGATAGGACATGACTTTGCTTGATGACACTGGTTATGAGCTTGCGTTTGTTTTTGTAGTTAAGGACCGGGATATTGACCTGCTGAGATAATATTGTATGGCCTACAGTACAATGGTAGACGTGTGTACCAAACAGCATACCCATTGAACTGATCTCAAATCTTGGGTGCGGTATTGATTACATGGAATGGATGTGTAACTCATCGCCTAACGAGGCGTCTTTTATGTGGATTGGTTACCACGATTACAAAATCCATACGTATATATAACTAAGCGGATAGACAACATGCAACGTTAGGGGCCAAGCAAGCAAATCATCGCACACGCAACGCCTTCAGATGGGTCTTTTTCAATGTAAAGTTTGAGCTGCTTTCCCCATTACAATATCCTGTATGTCCCGCTGGGCACTAGCGCCACATTTGAAACAAATGCGAATCGAGCGTACATTTGCAATCGACATGCTTGCGACGGCTCACATATAGCCATTTTGCCATCATACGGTTACGACGTTGTTAGTAGCAATAGTCACTTATCACCTCGTGTTGCGTAGGTCGCTGTTCAGGGCTATGGATGACCCACAAGGCAATTGTGACAAAAATGCGCGATGGTTCTTCACCCGCACCACAGACATGTGCAATGAACTAGATCTCAGTTTAAATGCGACCTGGTCCGTCGCCAGGTAATGACATTTTTTAACATAAATCCCTTCCGACAGTGTGCGTATTGTCGATAGCATTGAACCTCAGAACCTGGACGGGGATCTGAGTGTCTGACACAACCAAGCCACCTCCATCCAAATTCAGCGCTGCCCAGACCATTCAATATCGCGACTTCTACATTTGTGTGCCCGTCTCGACTCCGCCATTTGCAATCTAACAACGCTATGATGATTATTCAGTATGCCTATTGCAGTTTCGGAATCGTGACAATGCTCTTCTTCTTTGCTTCTATCGGAGACAGATGCTCGCCAACTCATGAAAAGCACATTTGTCACAAAAAGCAGCACACCTAGCAACATCAGAATACCACACCGGCCTGAAGTCGTGCTTTGTTCGCACCGTCAGCAAAAAATCACAACACCTGGACAGATAAACGAATTAAGAAATATTTTACACTGACGGCAATAAGGCGCGTAAAGCTCTGGGTGTGTTATAGTTTTTCTTAAAGGCTTAATCCAAACCATTTGAATCGAAGGATTTTTGGGATCACAGCTCAGGTTAGGCAGTGCTTGTTGTGTGAACCCTGACCTTTACCATTCGATCGCACAGTTCCCGGCAACGGCAGAAATTAGCGGCGACTGCTTAGCGTGCGGCAATGCTCGACACGGTCCGTCCTGCCCTCCGACATCAACTGACCCTTAGCGCGACCGCTGCCACCAACCGCGGGCCACACCTGTCATGCATACGCTCTAACCAACCGAACCACCGGGACGGACAAACATATCGGGCCGCTCCGTGGCACAGGGCTGGCCCAGGTCACCAATGGCTCGCCCAGTCTTTGTCTCCCACAGCCAAAAATACCTGCCTATGCTGACGATAATCCATGGGATTCGCACCAGTGCACGTTACGATACGGGCCAGAGTGAGTTGGCCATTTGCGAGGGTACGTGTATGCAACACTCATTTGTCACATGCCTTGTGTGTAAAATTACAAGTGCAACTATTCATGGAATGTCCCATTTTCCGTACAACCAACTCGAGACTGGACCTCGGAGCCCCCAAAAATGATAGGGCGATTGGACAGCTATTCGTTGTCAGTCAGCGCGACGACGCTCGCCCGGCACGTGTGAACGCGGCATGTGTGGACGCCGGTCAGTTGGATGGCCTTACCATGGTCCCGCGGCCTCCGATCGATACACACAAGCCCTGGGGCGCAGCGCAGCCAGCGGCGCCGGGACCAATCCCGGCCAGCCACCGTCGTGTGATGGGCGTTTTCACATCTGGTTGCGCGCTGCTCATCACACCCATGCGCCCAGTGTGGGCGGTGCAGCGGCGGCGGCAAACGACCGCGGACCGCGCCGCGGGCCCCTCTCCCCGCATGGCGACGCGTCTGCCAGTGGCTTTCAAACTCGACCTCGTCGGCGCTACTGGGCGCGGCTCGGAGCGGCCGGCCGGCATCCCGTCGAAACCCCCGGAACGTGGCGGCCTGTCGTATCTTCGGCGTCGGGTGGGAAACCAGCCGCAGTCGTGGAGCGCAGGGCCTAGTTGGAGGCAGTACCCGTACACTGCCGGTACATCGTAGACGCCATGGATACCTTCCTGAATGCCGGCGTTTGCGTGGTGCGCGCGCTCTTCTGCTGGCTGGAGTCGGTGGTGCTGTTCTTCGTGCCAGCCCACTACCGCATGAAGTCGGTGGCCGGGGACGTGACGCTCATCACGGGCGGCGGCAGCGGCATCGGTCGCCTCCTGGCGCTGCGGCTGGCCAAGCGCGGCGCCCGCATTGTCACCTGGGACGTCAACGTGGAAGGTAACCAGGCGCGGTCGGTCCCGCCGCGTGGCCCCCCCCCCCCCCCCTCCCCCGGCCGACGACCCGAGCGCCGAGTGCGCCGGCGTGTCAGCCAGCCCAGCCCCCGTGGCACGCTCGGACGGTGCAGGGGTGAATCCGGTCGGTCGCGTGGAGCCATGGCCTGGTGGCGAAGAACCGTGAGGTTGGGTTTGTAGCGAAATGGAGCCACACGTGTTGCCCCTTGGGCACAATCATGTCACGCTCATATCCAACTTATGTCATAATCGTCATATATCATAAACATACCATAATCATGTCACAATAATATCATAATCATATTATTATAAGTCATATAATAATGCTAGCACAGTCATATGGTCATAGGGTAAACAGATCGTGAGCATATCATTATCATATTGTGGTCATTTTATTATCATATTGTAATACTACAATCTGTCATAATCATCACATTTATACCGTTATGGATTCATAAGTGGCATGAAATTCATTTTCTTATTCCCGCAATAAGAAATTCCGAATCCGACTTAAAGTTGGATTGGATTATACGACGTAGGACAATGGATACGACGCGAGACAATGCAGGCTTCTTCCCAGACTGTAAGACGTATGTCATGAAGATTCCTCGCTCGTTTGGGCCTGTCTGGCTGTCTGTTGCCATCCGGACATCGCCAGCCAGACGGTGCAAGTGTAGCAACCCACTGCTCTAGACTACTGAACGCTCAGAAACGGACCACCAGTCGCCGTTAACTATACACCATGTACCAGCCTGACCTAGTTGCCCTCGTGCAAGGCCTGTAAGCCGGAGTTGCGGGCGCTGGCTGAGCGAGCCAAACGTACCATCTGCTGCACGCGCCGGACAGGCCTGGACACCGGACAACAAATCACTTGAGCCGTTTATGAGCGGTGAACTGTTCGGCGGCGTGTGAAGCTGGCTTACGTAGGTATTAATCTTAGTGAAGATGGATCCGAGCCATTGCTCACACTCATGACCCACCCCTACTCGCACCGATACGCCTGGATTCGACTCTAGTGAATTGATTCATTTTAGAGCTGGATCGAACTCGGATTTTGGCCGAACGCACCAGAACAGACCGCGAATTCGGTCCCAGACCCACACTCGGACTGAGACTTTGACTAAGATGTGGAGTCAGACCCGGACTGAGACTCGGAGACTAAAAGATTCGAGAAGCATGGCACTCGAACTGAACATCGATTCACATTCCAGTGCGAAAGACTCCTCATTTATGACAGAATGGGCGTGTTAAAGGTAGAGGTGATGGGGTAGAAATGATTTGTTGTAAGCCATTTGGTTACTAATTTTAGTTACGCTGGCTTAAATGGGTAAGAGAGCGTTTTGGGTTCGGCTGTTTTGGTAAGGTTGCACTAAGTTGTGCTAGGTTGTGTAAGAAGTGGCGTCGGCCGCAGAAACTTTATAAAAACATTTAGACATGCCCAAGATACGGCACGGCCTGACATGGCCTGATGTAACGCAATCGCCCCGCCTAATACCACCCTGTCAGGACCTGAAAAAGGCTAAGGTTTGTCTAATTTTTGGTTAGGTCAAAGGGAGTGTTTCACATTTGAAGGCATTGGGACAAGCATCAGATATGATAAAACAAGCTTGCGTATAACAATTGGTATACTTTTCAAGACTGCTCTAGACAGCACATTTTTCGCTTTGGTAAATATGCTTCTCAATGTATCATGGTTTGATCACGTCATCGTACCTTGCACAATACTGATTGAGCGTCAGTTGACGGCCGTTATAACTGGAAATCCGGGCGACCGGTTGAAAACACCCGGGTGGCCGGTTGAATGCCCTTCGCTTTGGATAGGGGTCAGTTTGCCCCCTCCTCTAAGATCTAAAGCACCGACATGTTCTACACCTGTGACCCTCCACTACTAAAGCACCGACATGTTCTACACCTGTGAACACGTGACCTTGTAAAAAGAGATATTGATACACTGGACTTAAAACCCATATCAAATATGGCAAATCAGTATGTCATGCGCACTACCTTCAATCAGCTGATGGGTGGAACACAGGGATGCCAGCAGGGCTACCGATCAGCGGAAAACGGTCCACATTGATTCAGATTGAGAACGAGACTGGGCGGGCAGCACTGAAGGCACCGATTTTTACGTCAGTTATTGCTGAGTCATGCCCATACTGCATGGCTGCGAACAGTTTGGCTAGTTTAGCAGGACTCGTCATCTGATGGTCACTACAGGAACAAGAGGAGTGAGAGGTGATGGCTCTGTGGACTGCTTGAAGCGTTTACGGAACGGTGGGGACGGTTGCCCGAAGTTAAGCATGTTCGATGAACATTTGGAGCGTTCGCCGGATGTCCTGAACTCCGCGCGGACGTTATTTTCAGTCAGTCATTTACGACATTTGCCGGACGTTCAGAGTATTTTCCGGGACCTCAGAGCGTTTTGCGGACTGTCAGAGCACTTGCCGGACGTCTGCGACATTCAGCAGATGTTCTTTTAGCTGATCGGACGGACGCTGGAGATGCCACGGGACTTTCACACGTTCTCCACTCGGTTTCAACGTCTCGTGGACATTCCGGGCGTTCGGTAAACGTGTATAACCCAAACTTTTTGGGCGCGCGCCAGACGTTCAGGAAGCTTTCTCCGAAGTCTGGGATGTTTCAAACGTGCGTTGGCGGCCAGATTGACATCTTCTGTTCGCCGCGGCTGACCACAGGCGGCGTGACGTCACGGAACGGTAGCCGCCGGCCAGAGCCAGGACTGGTTTTCTGATTGCGCCGTAAGCTAAGACACGGGCCGTTTTGCGGAGACGCGCTATTTATACTACGACCAGTTTAACTCTGTAAATCCCTGCGCCACGAACCAGTTGGCCTTGTCAGTCTGCGCACCGCGGTCCTAAGCCAGAAGCCTTCGGTGATGAGTGGCTGAAATGGAAACGACAGTGTGGCATGCCAACCGTCTACACTGCTTAGGTGACTCGACCCTTCCGGGTGACATTAGGTAACATTTTACACTAATGCCATGGTCTCGTGAAATTGCATGCAACAGGGAGTGACGATTTCATTTTTTGGCTGGACGGCTACTGATTCATAATAACAAATTCTGGATGGGTTACTGATCAGTGAAGGCATGGTTACTGTTACTTATTCATAACAACAAATCCTGGTGGGTTATTGATCTGTGAAGGCATGGTTTCTCTCGACGAAGGTTTTTGACAGGTATCTTAAATAACCTGCTTTGGTTGCGTATGTACTGAAGTGGGAATTACTGACAAGACGAGAAACAAAAAGTGGCAAAACCTGTTGGCATGCTACGGGCCATTAGTCGAACCCAAATGAATCACTCACAGTTGTGGACGGTCGTGTTCCCAGAGGCAAAGCAGCGTTCACTCGCGCACGAGCGTGGGAGACTCTCATTAGTGCCTGCCCTTCATGAAAGGAGGCTCGAACGCTCTCATCGTTCAAAGTTTATTGAACATATCCTTTTACGAAATGTCGATCGCGATGAAACTGCGCGCATTACAACACTAAAAGAGCAACATACGTTTTAGCGGCCTCGACCTTTTTCAGCACTACCGTGTGGGGAGACAGTTTGTGGACGATTTGTGGTGCACTCCGCTGTCTCCCAATTTGTTACGGGTCATTTTGATTCGGCTATTAATATGCTCCTTTTCCTCACTATGCCGACAAATTTAACCGCCCATCCGAGACGTAAACTCATCATATGAACATTACCTGACGTCATGTAACGGGCAAGCTGAGTTGTGCGTCAGGTTTGTTTCTAAGGAGAGTCGTGTATGCAATATAATAATGAATTCTGTTTTAAATATTTTTTTATTGACAAAACTTGCCATGCAGAAATGGACATGTAAAAACCAATGGCATCGTTATCATCTTTGTACATAACTTCATTCATGTTAGAGTGGCCCAGTTTGCCTGAATGCGCCATTACGGGATTGGCCAATGTCAACCACCTGGGATCGTGTCCCGGTGTGTGTTTTGCGACAGGGATTGTGATGAGCTAGTAAGTGAAGGTAAATTTGACTGTAGCATTTCGCGTGTGAGTTGTGTAAGTTGTGAATAGAAGCTAGCTACTTGCATACCTTGGACGGGGTATGTAGACAGGGCGTGCCTAGTTTTGCATAGGTGCCAGTACGTGTAGTGTGTATGACTGTGAATTAGGCACAAAACTGAACATCAAAATTGTAAACTTTTGTTCTTTTATGATGTGAAGATGTTCAGTTCACTGCAATTCATACCTGATAGCAGAATTTCAATCTGAGCCTTAAGTATGGAGACATCATGATTGTGAAATTCATTTATCTTATCTTTGGAAAAAACACTAGAAATTGACGAGATCTGACAATATTTTGTCGGGCCAGCACCTGAGTTTTGTAAGTTTTGGGAACAAACTCAGCGAATGAGGGCAAAATGCTTGAAGTCCAGGGATATCTCCATTTTTCAGAGCACGCTTTCCTGGCAGGTTGTGCCACCAATGAAGTAAGGGAATAGTGCTTTTCGGGCGATATGCAGGCTGGCTGACAAGTCCAACTGACATATTTGCCATGCTTTACCAAGTAGGAAAAGCTGACAACAGAAACCTAGAGCTGTTTCAAATCGCAGTACCTTCTAATATATGTCTGATATATTCAAGTTTGCATATTTGAAAATGTCTTTAAAAAATACCCTGAGAAGCAAATTAACAATGTTAATTTCGAGAATATTTTTGTGCTCAATGGTTGGAACATTTTGTTCATGCGTTCTAAGCGCTCCAAGGTTTGTGATGGATCACATGCAGCAGCAGATGGATCACATGTTGATAGGAACCTATCGCGTGGCGGTTGTATTTATATATGTATATATGAATGTATCGGACACTTTTCCAGCCGCATTATAGCGTGTATTTCTGTTGAATGCAAATTGCATTGCGATACGGTGTCATATGGCTCAGGCTCCAAAGGCTTCAGGAGGAGGTCATGATGTTCAATGAAGGATTCCGACTTCTAA